TGCAGTATGATGCTGCTGCAATCAAAAGTGATATATAGAACAACCATGATACTGTCACATGTACACACTTTGGCTTTGCAGTCAATTACTAAACCATGGTCAAAAAGTTTGCAGATAGTCCTTGACACAAGTATAGCTTCATGGCACTTCAACAGATATTATGAGCCATTTACAGCATCACCCCGGCACAGAGGCACAGATGGGGCCAGAACATCACACACTACCCATTATTTTTAAGCAGACACTTGGAGCTCATTCAGATCACAAAGCAATAACTAAAGCGCTAGAGGTGTTCATTGCAAAAATATATGTAGCCCTAATCAGTCTGATCAAAGATTGGGGATTTCACTATGATTAAAACACATGAGCAGGATTACGATTACATCATATAAAATTTAATTAAATTAAAACATTTATTTAAAAATTATAAGTTTTAATATAATTATTAAATACATTTATTAAAAAACAAATAAAAATAATAAATACACAAAACCTCAGAGAACATTATAATTGTTTTAATGCTGTTCATGACCTCTTTAATGTTGTTTAGTTTTTATTTTTATAATTTCTGTGTTAATTTTAGTTACATTTCCATTGTAAACATATTCCTGTGTGTATTGTGTCTTTTTAATTATGTTTAATGTCTATACAGCTCTTATTCATTTTCATTTTATTTTAATCATTTTATTTCAGTTTAAAGATTATTTTATTTCAAATAACGAAAGTTTTTTTTTTTTTTATGGTTTTAGTTTTACTTAAAGGGATAGTTCACCCAAAAATTAAAACTACCCCACGATTTACTCACCATTAAGCCATCCTAAGTGCAGTGGCGTACCACAAATCTGTGAAGCACATCTTTATTAACCCCCTGGAGCCGTGTGGAACATTTTCTATGATGGATGGACTTAGTTTATTGGACTTCTATTAAACTATTGAATATTACCACCCATGCACTGCCATTATAAAGCTTGGAAGAGCCAGAACATTTTTAAATATAACTCTGATTGTATTCGTCTGAAAGACTAAAGTCATATACACATAGGATGGCTTGAGAGTAAGTAAATCATTGGGTAATTTTCATTTTTGGGTGAACTATCCCTTTAACTATAACCTTGTTTGCACGTCCAAGCTTTGAAGTGATATTTTTCTGTAAATGTACAACATCAGCTAACATCTTGGAAATCAAGCAGAAGATTCTAGATTTACTTGCTCACAAACGTACCCATGATATCTCAGACCAATGGAACAGCATTTATGACACATTTAAGCAGTATCTGGTGCAGCAGCCTGCCATCTACTCTGCCTTAATGGACAAGAATATAAAGAAGAATGTCAAGGACTGATATTGTCTGACAGTGAACTGAAACTGGTAGAGGAAATTATTAATCTGCTTAGCCCCTTTATGACAATTACACCACTCTCGAGCCCAGAAACAACCTCCTCTGTGTCAATGATCCTCCCTCTGAAGAAAGTGATTGCACAATGATACCAAGAGATGAAGACAGTCCAACCATAAAGTCTGCCAAGACAGCCATCAGTCAGGACCTGGAAAACAAATATACAGAGTCTAACCTTCAGGATCATCTCCTTAGAATCTCATTCATTGATCCAAGGTTTAAGGGCACGTACACACGACAGTATATGATGCGTCAGAGAATACTGCCAATCCAATCATTTCAAAGGTGATGGTGAGAATGTAAAGGAAAAAGGCAAATATCAAGTTAAGCTCTGTCATACTAATAAAAGTTGAGAAATGTACTGCAACACATTCTGATGTAGTGTGTACAGAACAGAACTCACTCTCGAAATTGAGAAGATTGTAGTAAACATAGTAATGTTTTACCAACTCACGGGTTTAGTATCCACTATTTTTGACCGAAGTAATATTACAGCGAACAAAGATTCATTATGTTCAGTGAGATTAACTGAAACACTGTCAACAGAGCCATTGTGTTTTGTATATGTTTGGAACTTTGCACAGCACGCTCTTGAAGTGTTGCCATGTCCACTTATTATAAGCAACGGTTATTAAGCATCTTTGGATTTGACTTATAAAAGCAATCCAATTTATGAAGTTAATAAATTAGGCAGGTGCATATTACGATATTTTGGTATGTGGCTGATTTCCAAGATAACACAAAACTATCATGGATGTTGGAAAGGACGAGGAAACACATTTGAACTCACAATACATCACTATCTCAGAGCAGATGTAGCCTACTAAACTCAAGGCCACTGCTCCTCTACAAACTTTTAAAATGACAGCGGTCCATGTTCATTAGTTCAGCTGATCAACTGGACCTTCCTGTCAGAGTATGTCACACATCTCTGCACTTAACAATCTCATCCAGACTGTGTGTGTGTGTGTTTGCTCAAGATTCACACAGACGCTCGTCTAGCTTAAGGATTCCACAGGGACATGTTTTCTTTTAATAAGACAAGAAAGATGCCAATTATAGGCCCTTTGGTTCTTTCTGACCCTCCATGCTATGCTTTAAATTGGTTAGTTTCAAAGGCATAACGCTGGACTGCTCTCTCCCTGTTATGAACCCTTCTATTCTCTTTCTAAATGATCAGCAGCTTTTTTTGGAAAACGAAGGGAATGGTAAATGTAAATGGATAATCACACAAGCTACTTGTTTACATACCAGCCTCTGACTGGGTATTTGGTGCATTAATTCTGCTTATCTTTACACATAAATCTTTGTAGAAATAATGAATGGTACAGCATCCAGTATACAGTTTGTAAATGACTGTACAAACCTCCTATTTAAATCAAACACATACAGTAGCAGCCCAGTTTCCCACCTAGTTTAACTAGTAAAATTCTGCTGTGGCCCAGTCGAGTTTATAAATCTTTGTCTGACTAAGGAGATTACCGGAGATATATCCAGCTGCAGCCCCACAGACTCACATGTTTCAGGACACACACAATCCAGGCCACCCGTTTCAGGCTGGAAGTGAGGCAAACCATATATGGTTTAGGGCAGATCTGGTCTTTTTAGAGTCATACCACCTACAGTTTTGTAGTGTAATGTTCTTTTGTTAGATTTAATACAAGCTATTTTCGAATGGGTTTTGATAAGATTTATATGTACAACCTTTAACAATACCTGAAATGCTGCAAGTATATAATCTGATTATTTATTCATATTCATTTTTGATCAATGTTGTTAACGAATGTAACCTCATGGATTTTGATAGAACGTATATGCACAACCTTTAATAACAATACTGTGACGAGCGGGGCAGGACCGAGAGCCATGGGAATGGAGCAAGGCCGTATTTATGTTGATTTATGATTTATGTTGTGATTTATGTTGATGTGTACGTCAGTCGTCCGTGAGGGGCTGCCATGTTTACTTTTGTTTATTTATTTATTTTATAATTAAAGTGTTTAAAGGTTTGCCGGTCCCCGCCTTTGTTACATTGGTGCCAAAACCCCGGAGGAAGAAGGAACATGCTGTCGGAGAGCCCTCACTGCTGTGTGGAATCCACTGAGCCATTGAGCATGGCAGGGCAGAGGCTGCCACCATGGACACTCGAGGCAGTGGGCTGGAGTGAGTTGCCGGGGGGACGGACAAAATCGCTGCCGGCTGCCTGAGATGTGGATGGGTGGTTGCCGACTGAGGCCTGAACCTGCTGCCATCCGCCATGATGGGGAGGAGCAGGGAATGGGGGACATCTGTCGGCTTCCCGAACCCAGAGGTTCCTCTCTCCCCGCTCTCTCTCCTCATCCTTCCATCTCCTTTTCTCTCGCCTCGTCTGTCATTACCCCCAGGTGCTGCAGCCACCATGATCGGCTCCTCCCGGAGGGTGGGTGGGCGGGGGGGAGGGGGGGGGGTTGAGTGCAGTCTCATGAGTACAGCCTTTCCTGCTCTGTATTGGATAAAATACCAAGAGCATTCATAGGTTCTTCATTATTGTCGACATGAAACCAATTCCATGCAAGGCTTAGACAACTGTAGCAGCATTTGATGAACTCTTTAAGGCACTTTGTGTTCAGCACATCATACCACGAAAGTCTGACAAACTTTTACACGTCCATCCAAATGGGGGGGGGGGGGGGGGGGGGGGAGGGGGGGGAGTTGAGTGCAGTCTCATGAGTACAGCCTTTCCTGCTCTGTATTGGATAAAATACCAAGAGCATTCATAGGTTCTTCATTATTGTCGACATGAAACCAATTCCATGCAAGGCTTAGACAACTGTAGCAGCATTTGATGAACTCTTTAAGGCACTTTGTGTTCAGCACATCATACCACGAAAGTCTGACAAACTTTTACACGTCCATCCAAATGGCAGTGCAGATGCTGGAACCATCCAGAGAAAGACCTAGAGTCAGAGAACAAAAGGTAAGATTTCCTGGAAAGGAGTGATTTAAGATTGGGTCAAAGCACGTTTACTCATTGAACTTCCTCTTTGGAAAGCTCTTGTGTTTATTATGTGCAGAGTTCAGATGTTCTTCAGTGTTTGGCACATATTCTGTATTTAAGAAACATTTAATCACAGTTGATGGTGATGGGACAGTCCACAATGTGAGTGTGAATGAGGGTGAGTCCAGCAGAAATTGTGAAAGAACTTTTGAGCTGAATGTCAGTGAAGCTGACTCAACACCTTCGACTTCACAACACAATTCAGCAGTGCTAAAATCTAAAAAACTGTTGCAGGACGATGTGTGGATCTGTTGTTTCTCAGTTACAGGCATCAATAATTGCTAATAGTACAGCTCAGAGTGTAGTTGTTTCAATGGAGGAATTGATAAATTATATTCATTACAAGAGACAATACTGAGAAGTTTTTAATCAGTTCTGGGTAGTAAAGAAATTAGTGAGAAAGTTGAAGCTGTATTCTATGACATGGACAATCACTTCACTATCTTCAACACTGAGGCTAAATTACTAAGGTACTACACAAGTGTGTTATTGGTGTGCGATATGATGCACGTCGAGACAAAACAACAGGAATCTACACCCAAGTGCCAGTTATGGACAAGTTTGCATATGTTCCAGTTCTAATAAAAACACTTCCAATCCATGTTTAAAAATAAGGAAAAGTTAAAGTTTCTCAACAAGCAAGTCAACACCACAAGGATATTTATGACGATATTTGTGATAGAGAATACATGAAAACTTATAGTCTTTTTTCACGTGACAAACATGCACTGCAGCTTCAGCTGTACTATGATGACTTTGAGACTGCCAATCCATTAGGTTCTAAAAAGGGCATTCATAAACTTGGTTGCATTTATTTTATTTGACGGAATCTTCCCCCAAAATGTAACTCTGTTTTGATGAGCATCTATATTGTTGCCTTGTTTCATTCCAAAGACTTGAAAAAATATAGATTTGATGCTGTACTTCAACCTCTCATTGATTACCTCATGATTTTAGAAATTCACACTGCTCTTTCTAATGCCCATTTAAGAGGCACCATTGTGCAGGTAACAGGGGACAACTTGGCTCTGCATGGACTATTTGAATTTGTAGAGTCGTTCAGTGTGTCATACTGTTGTCGATTTTGTCTACCCTTACGAAAAAGAAGTTTATTCAAGTGTGCTATTAGTATACTTCTTTTAAACTAAAAAAAATAGGAAAGTATACTTTCAGTCTAATTTTATGTACTTCTCAGACATGGGCTTTGTGTGCTTCTCAGAAATATACTTAAAATGACATTTAAGTATACTTGACTTATACTTAGAAAAAGTATAAATATATTTGAGCTATACTTGTGCTCCGAGAACGTTTTCATTGTTATATGGTAGGGGGCGCTAGTACACATCTTCTGTACAGAATTTCCACACACAAAAAAAACACAAATGAAGAAGAAACCGAAAACAGCAGATGCTTCCATATGTATTATAACACGATCATCAGACATAAAACAGCATCAAAACTGTGTAACGTTATGGAATAAAATGTCGACCCATGAAGAGGAAATAATGACTGTCAAGCTTTGGGGTGTTGATCGACTTCATCAATGTTTTGATTATCATTCTGAATCCAATTAATAGTAATTTTTCAGCTTTTTGTTCAAAATCTTGTTAATTTCTTTATTTTTTTTATTTTTTATTTATAAAACTTACCCACATTCAGGTGTTTAAAAAAGAATGCATGAAGCTAGAATAAAATGTTTTTGTTTACAAGCAAAGAAAACTTACGAGTATACTTACAGTATAAACTACCTAACTAGAGACTATACTTCAAAGTGTACTAAAAATGCTACTACAAGTATTTAATTAATAAACTATCAGTATACCTATAAGTTCACTTTTAGTATAGTTGCAGTACAAACTGAAAACATAGATGTAAACTAGTTGTGTACTCAAAGTTTACTACTGTTATACTAAAAGTATACTTAAAAGTATACTTTTATATGCTAGAAAGTGGGCCAATTTAGTCCCAGGGAGTATTGAAATAGTACACTTACAAGTATATTACTAGTACACTGATATTTGTATACTTACTACATAAAGAATACTTAAAAATATACTTGAACTTTACTTAAGTATACTTACTAAAATAAACTTGAAGTATACTACTTTTTGGTAAGGGTAACTGTGAAAAGTGACTTTCAGACAGTTTTCACTGAAGATTACCCAAATTTGATTCTTCGTTCAAAAGATTTACATGCAGTTCATTGTAAGGCATTACTTTTTTTTTTAAATTAACAATTAAAATTGTTTGCTTAATACATTGCAGTTCTTTGAACCCTCTGAGAACTATGCAGTTGACATAATGCATGATATAGAAGGTGCGGTGCAGTATGAACTGAAACTTGTTTACCAGGATTTGGTTAAAAATTTGCTGGCTGTTAAAGAGTTAAGTGAACGAGTTCAAAGTTTTATTTTGTCAGCGATGAATATGCTCTTTTGTGAAGTTCAACAATCTGTACTCAGGTAAATACATTTTCCAATTATTTTTTTCTCTGACAAACATTTGAGCACTGTATACTGTAATTGCTGTACAAGAGAAAGCACATATAATTGGTAGTTTTTTTTACACTGATCCTGGAACTGTTTACTTAGGAAGCTTCTACTTATGAATGTTATGTGATTCGTTTGTTAGCTTTGTGTTTGGCCTTCTTATTGTTCTACAGCCAACAAAACAGTGTAACATATTGAAGTCTAGACTTCAAGGTGAATTCTAAAATAAATGTAATTTAAAGCAACTGGCATTGTGGAATGCTGAAGAAAGATGAGAAGAATGAACTTTATTTGCAGGTTCACTGACAGCTTAAAATATTTCAAAACCTCAGAGTTTAGTGAAGGTTATAACTAAATAAATGGGCCCATTATGATGACTGATGTTGTTTACCTTATTTCGTGACCAGGTTGAAGAGAAAGTGTGTCGATGTTGTTGGCTGGGTCTCGTAAGGACCTTTAGCCTACATTTTTTAAACCGAAGCTTTGTTTTAAAGATAATATTAATTTTAAATGCACATACATTTTCTTAAATAGTTTAATCATCTTGACTTGACTGTATGGAGATTTGGAGAAGTTCTTGCACACTATATGTTCCTTAAATCAACATATTGATTTCTTGGTTCTTTAAAGCATCATGTCACTGGTTAGCCTCTGATGGTCTGCCTGTGTGCGTTCATGTGTTTTGGAGGAGGCGTGGCTTTGGAGAGTGATTTGCAGGGAGGGTGCGATCTTATGCTTTCAAAGCTAACTTGCTATTGCTAGAAATCCAAAATCGCCTACCTTTAAATATTGCTTCATTTTAACAATTTTAAATTGTTATTAAAGCATACATTGAATACTAAGCTATATATATGGAATTGTAAACACAATCACTGTGCTTTTGTGGTGTTTTTTTGTCCCATTTTGGCTCCTGAGTGTACTCTATATAATACCTGAAAGTAATTCAGCATGTCAACCCATCTCTCTCTCACTTTGGTTGTCTCCCTCTGTCTTTCTGCATCTGATTGTAAGACATCTGTCGTTTGCTCCGTCTGTCAGTGTAAGCAGGTGCGTTTCTGACTCCTCACCTGTGTGCTTCTATGTCATGTTCAAAGCCTCACACTCACACACAGGTGGAGAGAGGTGAAGGGAAGAGTCAGTGTTTTTTCAGTGTTTCTGAAAAGAGTGCTGGATGTTGAATAACTGAAGGTCCAGTTGACAATAGAACTTTCCGGCTGTAAATAAATGGATATTTGGAGCTAATTATAGGATGAATGAATTTCAGTTGGCTTTGAGGAGTATGAGTCATGTACAGCCTCACTTAAGGGCAGGATGTGAATAATAGTGACATAATTTTGAGGATGAATTAAAAATAAAAATCATGAAGTGACTACAGATGTGGTCACTACATGGCACAAAGAATGGCACAGTTCATCTCAGTTCAAAATGATTTTATCACATTGAAATTATAAGACAGGAATTCATTTAGCAGCTCCTTAAAAAGAATCCACTTTTACATGGTGTTTGGACATAAATGTGTGTTGGCAGTGTGTGAGCACAATCACCCTACAATGATAAGAATCCAGCCTCTCCTTATTTTCCCCACTAAACTAAAACAGTCTCATTAGACATGCCATTTTGATTCTCAGGCCCTGTCCACGGTCATTGGCTGACACCGCCATAGTAGCAGAGACCCCACCCTGAGTGAGCCACACACAATCCACCATGTTTATCTTCACGCTAGAGCATTTGAAAGCAGCAAGTAAGAAATGTCTGCTTATTAAAGCTATAGAAGTTATTCAGTCAAGAGCAGTGATTTTCTGTTTTTATTTATTGCTTGGCTCATATTAACAGCGCAGACAGCAATATATGTACTGCATATTACGCTGCTGTCACTTAGTGCACAGCTCTAATATAAGCAATTTCTTTCCCAGCTGTTTACCTTCACAGACATAACCGACTGTGTTTGTGTTTTTAACATAACCTTGTGTGTATTTGACAGTTCAAATGCTATAAGACATGAAACAGAAGTTAGTTTGGTACTTACATGCTGTGTGACGGTCGGCCGCTTTCTGTGCTCGTGCTTCGGATGTGTGCACTCGGAAAACACTATATCACAAGTTTAAATTGATATGGCTTTAAAACTGATGATTTCAGTGCGATATACATGATAATCAAAACCAAACAGATGTTTTTTGGCAGAGTATTTGAGGT